GCACCGTCTGTTCGCTGCGCGCCCTCTCCCTCCCAGGACGCAGGGCCTGCCGAACGTCGTTTATTACGTCGAGCCAAAACATCGCTTGGGGAAAGAAAAGTGCAAGTGCCGGGCGAACAACTTTCATTTAATATATGCAGGAAACATGCATATACGTTCGTATTCACTTTCGTATTTTTTGTTCCGATAAATAAATGTAAATTATTCTTTGTATATGTCACAATTACACAATCTTCCACGCTTTTGTAAACTCTGATCGGTGTCGGTGGTTCCCAAATGCACAACACAAATGCTGTAAAACGTTTTCGGGAGCAAGTTAGTCGTATTAATGTAGAGGCAGATCATAACATAAATTCATTAGACGCGGAAGCAATTTAAACTTAATAATGTTATTTTATTGCGTACTACTTAGAAACAATAAAAATGCATTAAATAGTAATGTATTAGTAATGAACAAATGTAGTAGTAAATTAGTAACCAAATGTATTAAATGTTAGTAATGAACAAATGTGTAATTACGATGTAAGCAAAAATTATATTTAAAACACAAAATGATGATGTATGAACTGCATAGGATCTAAAGACAATGTCTAATGAGATCCATTTGCACCATGTGGATTTCCCTGTCTGTCTCTTTATATTAATTCTTTCACCAAACTCTCAATTACATACTCTTATTACATTCTTCTACTTTCCCTCCTTCCTTTTCTATTCTCCTTTCCTTCCTTCTCTTACCGAGTTCTTGCCTATATTTTACCGTTTCCTTTACCGTGTAGTATTATTTGCACATTAATTTTAGCCAATGAGATTAGATTCAAATACGAAAAGAGGGACTTAGACGTAATGCTTCAACTGCATGTGAACAAGGTTTCTCAAATATCTATTATATTTAAAAGTTGCGGAAAATTCACGCAACTTTTTTGACTGATCTCTAAAAGTTTTCATCACAAACTAATTAAACAAAATTCCTTTGATATCATTGCCAAGGTTATTAAAGATTTCAAAGAAAGTCAAGCCATTTTCCAACGAACATTGCAAATGTAACTCCATTTTCGAAATAATATGTTTTATCACATTCATTAGAAGGGAGCCTAGTAGGAGGGAAAAAATCAATATGATGTGAAAAATCAATTTAAAACTTGTGGCCACAAAATCCTTAATATCTTTTAAAGGACTCTGAATCAGATATTAGTGTTGGTATTAGGCGCAAATTGGTTACCTAGTTGTAGGAATATGTAAAAATGCAGGATCGACTTTGTCATGAATGGATGTTTTTTAACCAATTCCGTTAAAAAAATGCAAATAAATTGATAGAATATAACCGGCATATTTAATAAAAGTTCAAATGAAATCGTGGTCGGTCAATTGTATACTATACAATACTTTGTAATGTTTTCAATAAAATACCAATAATATTACAAAAAATATAAACAATATGTTTTAAGAAGCTTTTGGATTTTTTTCACGGAATGTTTTAGATGTCCCTCCAAAAAACTGGACTTGTAAATTGGGGATTAGAAGGAAAATAAGAGTTTAACCCATATGTAAATTGAGAACCGACTACATCATCCCCTTTCAGGTAAAAATGGAAGTTGGTTCTTTATTCTCGAAGAACGTTTTTATAGCCGTTATTTTTAAAACACAACTCCCTTCTCAATTTTCCAGTCTTAGGTCTGGCATATTTCTTTCAAAATATCGTTTGATTAAAGTTGATTTTCATTCAATTCAATAATTTATTTATTGAATGAATTCTGCTTATCTTGCCATTTTTATACTCTACCTTTTTTCTGCCAAAATTCTATAACGTTGAACATGAAATTTGGACACTGTTAGTGTTTTCTTTGCTTTTCATTTTGATATAGAAGCAAGTCCGGAAGATTTTTAATAAGGCACAAGGAAAAACTGGACAAAACGCGATGGCTATGGCCCTCTTAATTCCTGCTCAATCAGTCCTTTTCCTTACCTGCATTTGTTTGGTCCGCAATTTATATATAAAATTAGAAAGTAAGTTCCGCGAGAAAAGATGAAGGGTGTATTTTCCCCAATTTACATACGGCCCAAACAATGGGGTATTACGCATGTACTTAGTCGTGCCAATTTGTATTGACCTTCCATTTTGCGAGGTAGAGTGCGCAGTAACTAGTACTCTCCCTGTAGGAACAGCGTGTTTGAATTTAACTACGTTTGTATCATTAATTTATGGACCGTCGCCCGTTTAATATTTCTTCTTGATGGTGCTTAAAGGAGCATTTTGCTTTGTTCAAACATCAAGGACTGCGTGCATTACCTTGGCGTTGACTTTCTGCCTTCGGTCTTTCCCTTCCTATTTTAAAACATTTCTCACAGTGAAATTATGTTAATGGTTCATCTCGGGCAAATAACATCTACATCGTTTTAAAGGAACTAATTGGGAATGCACCTAACTGTAAATATCAGTGTGTACTGTAATAAGCATATTTCAACAGATTTTGCCAGACAATGCTGGGGAATTCTGTGTGAATTGATATCAGAACAGATTTGTAAATACATTTGAGTATTCCGTGCGAATGTTTACATCATCTGAGAAACCTCATGAAACTCTCACTAAATGTTCTTCAGTTTTCCAAAAGAAATCTATTCTCTGAAATTGTTCATTTTCAGATAGTGAAATAAACAATTTGACTTGTGTGTAAAGTTTTGTTTTTCTTTAACTCACTTTCCACTGACTTGTTCATTTACTTTTTTATTTGGATAAGGTAAGTCTTTCGTCAAGAGGCCGGATATGAAGCAGAAATATTCCCACAAATCTGAATTGATTTAATTGTTGCTTTTAATCTTCCGATAAGTGCAGATATCTCGGACTTTGAGTAAATCCTCTTCCGATTAGTGTAAATATAAATTAAAGTATCGCAACTCCAATAAAAAAGTGACTCAAGTGCGAAATCGTCATTTTTCAGCTAAAAGCTAATAAGAGGTTACTAAGAGGTACTGCTACTATTCTGAAGTTGATTTTGAATTAGTTCAATTACTGTCCGCGAGAAGGCGAATAATTGGTACAATCTATAACGAGTATTACAGAACTACGAAACTTAAAATTGCAATTTCTGATAATTCAGAAATTCGCACTTGTGTCACTTTTCTATAGGAGGTGCGATATAATTTAAAAGTTAACATATTTTATTTAAAACTACAATACCCTCGCATAGACTCTCACAGACATACATTTTTCCTTTACGTTGTGCATCTTCTTTTTTTCGCCGCAACATCTTTCATTTCATTTCTACTTGGTTCGCTGAGAGACCGTTTCTTTCTATTATCTCCCGTTAGTTTTCCCTTTAGCTAATTTTTCGATCATTTCAGCACACACGTTTCCACGAATTTTCTCCGCATTTCCTTTTCTTTTTCCCCATTTGGTGTCTCCTTAACTCTTTTATCTTCTCGTGCCGTTCACGCAATTTTCGTGTGCTCTAATAACACTTCCTGCCACACCCGAGCTGTTCTCTCAGCCTCTCAAATTTTCCGCAATAGGTCGCCAACGCCACTTACAACCTCCAGCGGCACCGAACGGAGGAAGTGCTGCAACAAGAGACGGTCGGCGCGCGCAGGCCACTCGCAACCCGACTCGACTCACTCCAGGATGCCGTGGGCTCTGTCATGGGCCCGAGCGCCTCGGACACTTCGAGCCAAGGCAGTGCCGAGGCGAACAGTGTATTCGTAAAGTAGTGAAACGCGGGATGAATGGAAAAAATGAATGGTTATGTATGTAATGAAACATACATGAATGATGTTTGAATGTAGAGAAAAAACCTCACCTGTAAAATAAGAACAATTTATGTAGTTGTTAACAAAACTGATCTTAGTGTAAGTTAGTAAAAGTGCCAAAGTGCTTATATGCCAAATTGAAAGTAAGTAAACTTTAGAACTAGAATATTAAACTTAGATAGATAGATATATTTATTATTTCTGCAGGTATAGAACCTGGTGGCAGAACACTACAATTTACATATCACAACTAAGAATACTAATACACTGTAATTTTAGCTGTAATTGTAGCATAGCTGTAAGACAAAGCCCATCCTCTAGCTGCTTAAGCCGTAAGGCAGCAGTTTAATGTAAGAATTCGAAGTAAATAAATTCCCCTTCTTCACAGGGTTACTGTGGAGGGGACAACAAAAGCTCCGCCACCGCCACTTTACGCTGGTCGCGAGTGAACCCGTCACGCGCCGCCGAGGAAAAGGAAAAAATCAGTCACTGGATAAAACCTGTTACCTCAACACACGCTAATTGTTTTCATAGTTATTTTTAGAACAGTTCATTTACCCGAAATGTTAAACAAAATTCTGTGTGGCTAAGACTAAGTTATTACAAAATGCCCACTCTAATCTATCCGCTCATGAAATTCTCCTCAGAGAGTTTTCTTCATCTACCGCCGAAAAAAAAATAGCATGGCAAAGGAAGCAAGCTAGCGTTTTGTTTCATAAACAGTAAGACCATAAATGTTTTGTGATGCATTGAAACCTGACTTAAGCAGCCATTTGTAGTTTCGGTGAAAATAGGTTCATTAATAGAGATGGTCACTGAATGAAGGTGATATGGTTACGCACATCAGTTTGAGTGCTCTAATTGCTATAAAATGTATGTTTTTTTAAATTGTTTTTAATTATCTAAGACCATGGGTTGTCGGTATCAAAGAGGGAACAAAGGTAGGCAAACATCATGCAAAAACGATGGAATGTATACGAGTTACATCACAAAGAGACGTTTATTAAAATTAGTTTTTATCTGAAATAAAAATTAATATCCTTGCGACGCAAAGGATTGTCATTGTACTAAGTAATCTGACGATGTGTGCGGTTAAATGAAAAAAATGAATCAATAGTAATATTTACAGCTCTTCCACTTCTTGTTCGTCAATAGAGTTATAAGAAGTTCGAACAGTTTCTCAGCAAGCAATTTCCGATACTCTTCCTTCCAATGTCAATAGTGATAGAAAAAAGTAAAATATTGTTTAGTAATATCTGATGGTGATAGGTTATAGTCTTACATTGTTACCTAAAGCTTTACACAAGTTAAATAGTATCTTGCAGTCCAGTGGTGTTGTGATGTCCGTAGGGTATGTGGAGTAGCGCATTAAAATGCCATGTAGTGCAATGTTCATTGGAATGTAGTGACACGAAAAACCTCAGTATATTGATGTCGTGTGCTTGTTTTCGGCGGGGGGGATCGCGAATCGGTCATCTTAGGACCACGCACCCACTGAGGCCCAGTCTTTTTTCCCAGGGTCAGTGCTCGTGACTGTTTTTGAGGGGACATCGCCATTTCTATGCCGAATCCATTTTTACACCTTAAGGTTGATAGCCCTGGGGAGATTAGGTATGAAATGATGATGATGATGATGATAAAGATAAAGAAGAATAAGTGGACAATTGCAAACACTCACAAACATCTATTCCCCGGGCGACATTCGAACCTACGACCCTGCAGGCACAAGATAGCTATGGCTCTACAGCCTTAGCAACTTCGGCTCTCTGGGACGGCATTGTTATTATACTTATTATTATTATTATTATTATTATTATTATTATTATTATTATTATTATTATTATTATTATTGTATTGTTATTAATTCATTGATATTAGTTTATTTTGTAAAACACTGTTACCGAACTGCACTCAAGTGCAGTTAAATAGTATCATATTCCATTACAGCTCTAAATCATGTGATTGCTTAATATAGGACACTCGACGAAATGTCCTTGGCCGCTGAGTGAAGTGGCTGCTTAAATGAGGGGATACTTATAAGAATTTTAATGAAAAATCAATCGGTTCCAATGAAAATGGCAATTAAAGGAAGTGACCATTTAATAAAGATGGCCTTGTAGCAGGTTTCATTGTAGTGAGATGGAGCAGTTTCTCAGTAGTGACAATTAGAGAAGTTTCTTTTACAAGTGAGTTACTTCAGCCCTCATAGATGATTAATTACAAAGTGATGAACGGAATTTGAATCTACATTAGGCAGCAGCAGGGACAGATCCAGCCGATCGTTTTGGAGGGGACCATCATAAAATTTTGTTAAATAAACATTTGTTATTGTATTGTATATTATTTTGTAGTGTATAGTATATGCAACTACACAATATTTAACTTTCTCGCAATTACTAACGTAAGAAGAGAAAGTATTGTTGTTAAATATAGAAAAAAATCCTCTTACACCTGATGTAGCTAGAATCCCTGTTTTGTGGGTCCTTGATACCGAGACATCGATTGACGTCTAAACATGTCTGTCTGTCCGTCTGTGCACAACGCTAGCGCCACTTCATTTGTTCGTATACTATTTCGACCACTTCATTTGTTTGTATACTGCCGTGGAGATAACTTCCGATTCTGGAATACCGATGTTTTTAAGGGTTATCTATATCAGAAGAACATTCAGGACGGATATTTATTACTAAAGGATATTTATAACGGATATTTAATATTCTATTCTATTTCTTTTGTTGATAGAGAATATATGTCTATACAAGTTTATTTTCAAGATATTATCTAATGGAAAATACGAATATACTTATTTTATACTGTAAACATACGTGTAGAATGTGTATATTAATATTTCTAATGAAAAACTGTTTTTATAAGAAACATTGTAATTATAACTATACATAATATTCGAAGAATCTGTAATGTCATTGTCCTTGCCTACCAATATGATTAAATGGTACTTCAAAATTAATGTTGTCAACATATAATTTCTGATAAAAGTACACACAATTCTGTAATACATGTTCTGAAAATGTGTGCAAAATCAACTTTCTCCTCGATCAATACTACTTAACTTATGACTTATAACTTAAAAACTTCATGAAACGCAAAACACTTCTCACGAGCAGTTGCCAATCCCCTTCTCAAACGCACATGGTACAATAATGAACCAACAGAATTCAAATTACCGCTTTTAATGATTGCTCTAGTTCCTCTTGACTGTCACAAGGGAGCAGCACATAATATCTAGAAAAAAATGATACAACGATGTGGTGCCGATCCGGTGGCCGAGATCGCAAAGGCAGTAGAGCCGTAGCGAACTTGGACCAAAGGATCCTCACAATTAATATACTGTTACAAGCAATAGTAGTCGCCAATGACCTAGAAGTTCATGCGACCGTAAAAAAAAAAAAAAAACAACAACGATGTGGTGCTCATTTGCACCAAGGAACAGAAGCGCAAAAGCTAGTAGAAAATGTTGTTCAATAAAGTGCGAATGACCTACAAAGGGTTAACTTAGTTTTTTTTCCATTCGAAATACATAGTTTGAAAATATGGCATGAATGCTTTAGGTATCACTAGTGGCCTGCAGCCACAAACCTGTTGCTGAACAAAACCACTCAAAATAGATTTCCAAAAAGTAACATGTTCACTGCTCAAGAACGAGACAAAACTCTCACATAATAATGCAACAAATTTTATATTTTAAGAAAAAGAGTATTCACGGAATACTGCAATTACTATTTAAGTATATACGGATACACAGTATAAAGGTCTTAATACATCATCAATATGAAAAATGTTGCCTTTCCCAAATGTAACAACTAAATACAGTCGACTCCGGTTATAGTGAACTCGGGTATAGTATATTATTATGTGAACTGAAGTCACTGGTCCCATTTCACTTACATTGCAAATAAGCACAAGAAGATTCGGTTGTCGTGAACCTGATACGAAGTAAGTCCTGGAAATTCATTGAATATCGTATATTATTAGGCGATTTGAAAGGGTCTTCAGAGAGTGGGATAGTGTTCCAACAGTGCAAGAGGCATTGAAAGGTGCCAAGACTGTATTACCATACTTAGAGACAGAGGGCCATGCACAATCAAGTATGGTGAGAACACGAACTGTGGAGAAGGATGTGCTGAAAAATGCATGAAGCAAGCAATTGAAAATAACGTACAAATAAAAATATTGAAATGTTCAGTTTGTGCTGTTAATGAATTAAGCTGAATATTAATAAAAAAAATTTATGGGGAAATTCCATTTAATTTTGACATCATCGAATATAGTGAACCTCTGATATAGTGAATCAAACAAGTTACTCCCCAGAAGTTCACTATAACCGGAGTCGACTGTAGCTAATATTTAATGGCGGGCGGCCACTTCATTTAAGTGTTACTGTTGCATGATGTCAACTGCGTCGAAACTAGTAACATTCTGAGTATGAGAATTCAGTTGGTACGCGTGGTATGAGAATAAGAGGGAAACAATAACGAATTTTAGCATTCTTCACACAAAATTGAAACTGTTTCACTGTTTTGGTATTTTCTCCTAGTTCCTGAGTATCAAACGAATTTATATACACTTCTCACATGGCCAGAGTCTGCATAGTTTTCAGTCAATGTAAGTGTACATGGGAATTTAGTAATTTAGATTTCGGTTCACTGCGCGCTCGCCGCCGCCACCGCCACCGCCGCCGCCACCGCCGCCGCCGCCGCCGCCCGGTTCGCGCGCTGCACGCTTGGCATTCCGCCGCTGTCCGCCAGCGAGCGAACACGTTCTACAGAGCCACCGCCTCCGCCGCTACTCCAGACTGTCCGTCATAGCGACCGCCCTCGGTCCGCACTTTCCCACTTGGTCTCGCCCGCGACGGCCAATCCCGCACGGAGCCTCGTCCTTGAGCGGGAGAGCCGACCGGCAAACGCAGCCGCTGCCCGTCTTCGCTCCGCGTTGCTGCCAGAGCGACGGAGACTGCCGGACGGCGTTGGCGCCACTCGTGCGTGCGCGTGTGTGTGTGGGTGGGAGTGCGTGTGAGCCTGTGCGTGTGTGGGGAGGAGCGGAGGAGGGGACCTCGAAGGAATCATGCATCCGAACGCTCGGGCGTGGGCGTTCGCCTGGCTGCTGGCGAGCGTGTTGACGACGTGCGTCGCCCAGAAGCGATGTAAGTAATTGGAGATATCCGCCGCCAGCGCAGGGCGGGGCGGGGCGGGGCGGCGGACGCTGCAGGTGCACATGTCGGACCGGGCGCGGGAGCCTTCTCGGAAGAGGACGTTCAGTGGCTGGTCGTGCGAGAACGACCGCGAATAGTGCTTTGCTCCAGGATTGCGGAGAGCGCCGACGAAGCATTTGAGTGCATATTTGAATGGAATGTTCTAACACAGTGAAGGTTGTTCATGAAAAAAGTTACTGAAGGATACAACGGTCGCTCATTGACTTCCGACGAAGAGCTTGTACGAAAGGAGTCAAACATTTCTGTAACTTGAACATGTGGCTATAGTATTGCCTGGTAGTTAGGTTTTACACTTTATTTTGGCTTGTGTTGAAACAAACGAACCAAACGTATATAATATCTATTTTTTAAACTGTGTAATTAACAATTTAAGGACCATCCAAATTTGCGTGATTTAATGTTACCGAAATTACCGAAAAATGCTTTTCAAGGGCTTGGCAAAATGGGCAAAGGCTTGAGCAATGTAAATAAAATAAAAATGAATCAATGAAACAATTTCAATTTTTCGTATTAGGCCACAATCGGTTATGTCATCACCCCAAACACAGAAGCAGTCAGTTAGCTCTTGTTCACGGAAAAGTTTACATCTTACTCTGTACTCTCTCCTTTTGAAAACCCCAAGAGTACCTTGTGATTGCGCATTTATTGTGGTGGATATAGAAATGATTATATATGTTGCCTTGTAATCTAAATCGTTCAGACGAGTGAAAATGACACACAAATCTAATGCTGTTCCGGGTTTTACTGGAATGAATTCATGAGAAGTTTTCCTTAACGAATTTTCACATAAAATGCGGTAGTAATTATGCGTTGTTTAGAATCAAGGATGTTTCAAGTTAATAGTGAGGGCCGAAATCACGAACCTCGTCCTAACTTGGAAACGGACATCGAAGAGGCAAGTGGGCCCTAAAAGTAATTTGGTATAAAATGCAATTTTTAAACATATTCATGTACAGTACGGAATCGCAAACTGGTTCCTTGTAGGTGCCTCAAAGACCCAAGCGTAATATAAATATTTGTGTCGAGTACGTATCAGTCAGTGTTCAGAGAATTTAGTATCAATTTTGGCAGCATTGCCCTTTTCGGTAGGGCCCGTCCCTCCGTTGGGAGAAACGTGTGGAGAGGGAGCCGTTGAAGCGTGTGAGCGCGAATTGATAGACCAGTGAAAGTGAACCGACGTTAGAGAGCGGCGTCTGCGATAGCCCGGGAGAGAGAACGCGTTTCGCCTTTTTTATTACACGCTCTTCGCATAACAAAGTGAATTGAAGGCACTGATTTCTTCTTTCAGATCGCTTCTGCGTGATCACAGACGAAGACGACAAAAGTCGGGCAGTTACGAAGTATTGTCCCCTCCTGAAAGGCGACAGTAGTAGAGTGGAATGTGTGTATGGAAATAGTCGGTAAGTATCAATGCATTTGTCTCTGTAAGTTTGCGATCAGTAGAGACGTGATTTCCATGCACTATCAAATGTTAAGAAAAGTGTATGGAAAGGAGCACTATCGAATAGACAAACATGCAAGATTCAGAGCAAACATTAACAAAACATGCGCAATCACATTTTAATGTAGTGTTTTGTTTTATTGCTTTTTGTAACGGTGAACAATTAACATTTTGTTCTAAATTTCACTCGGTCTAATTGCATTTGAGAGTTTTTGAATGCAGAAAAAATAGTTTCCATGTCAGAAGACGTAACTGGAGCATACTTCAAAGATGAATTTTGAGATATGAGGTCAAACCCACCATTTTATGATTTCTCACCAACGTATTTTACATTTTGGAGAAATTTCACGTGAGGACCAGAATTTAACAATTTATAATTTCTCCGCAGTGAATCTTGCACGTGTGCAGAATAATTGAAAGGTATTGTACAACAATAAGGAAAGATAACTACAAACTCTAAGGAACTAGTAATAATAATAATAATAATAATAATAATAATAATAATAATAATAATAATATGTAGAACATATTTTAAAATGTACTTCATGTGCTGACTAGAATACGTAGAATTAATTGAGCAAAATGTCCAAACGTGCATTATGCATGTAGATCTCAAAAACTTATACCATAACCTACAAATATGCACGGAAAAAGTATGCATTTTTAAAATTAGTTTGCCATGAAAGTAAGTTTGAAAGCTGTATGAAGATTAAATAAAACCATGTAAATCCCGTCTCTAGTGATCAGGAATAAGAAATGGGGAATTCTTACTGTAAGACATTCAAATAGACTTGTAGCTTGCTGCACCAAAAAATACGACTTTGGGGCACACTACGTAAAAAAAATACCAAAAATAAGAATTGGTTTCTTTCTTAGATAGTCCCACAGCTTCGAGGTCTTGACCTAACGTCCTCTTACGCGCAGTGATGCCGAAAGTCTTTCGCGCTACATAAATTAACAATTATTTCAAAAAAGTTGTAACTGAGGGTCATAACATTGAATAGTATACACTTACAGCTCATTACGTCTCGCAGATAACGAGAATTTTTTTCTCAGATAATAACCGCTATTTAAATTGTTCTTGCTAGATCAATCACAAATGAGGTTACACAGCGTAAAATGGCAATGAACCGAACGAGCTTGGTGAATATTGTACAGAAACGCTGAAAATGCTTAAAGTAGTGTCAACGAACTTCTGCCTCACAATGTACAATGCTTAATCTCAAAACTTGTGCATTGGACAGGCTCAAGGATATGTTTTGTTCATTGCTTAAGCCGAAGGGCGGAGCTTCCTTATGAACTTAGACATACGTCCGTTGTGGCAAAGAAATGTTCAGCAAAAAATTCTTTAGAAATTATGCTTTGGACAAACTCAGATGTTTCATATTATCCGCGTAGGCCTTAGAAGTCTCGTCCTGAAATTAAACAATAACTACTTCCCTCGAGACCTTGGGTCAATTGAAGTCGCTTCCCAGCTTTGGAGGTTCTGCGATTCTCACACAATTTTGATCCAAAATAGTTCATGAATGAAATAGTGGTCTTCTTTATTCATGCAATCCCTGCAATAAGAAATATGTTAATGTTTTTCTGTTATTTACAAAAGGTATTTTAGGGATATTAAGTTTTATTACAAAGTAACGAATTATTTGTTTATTTATGGCTGCAATAATTTCAGATTAATTGTTTATATTAGTCAATTTTTCCTTTGATTTCAGGCTAGATTGTTTGAGACTTATTGCGAAAAATGAAGCCGATTTCGGAATATTTCAACCAGAAGACTTGGTAGTAGCGACAAGAGATAAAGCTGGAGACTTCGTTATCACTCACAACATACAAGATTTTCAGACAGGTAAAGCATTGAATGCTAATTATTCAATATATTATGGTTAATAATATTCGACTGACTGTTATTTTAATATCGAACTGTCTGTGAAGTATCTTGAATGATGTTCTCATTCCAGTTTTTTCAAACATGAAATACAAATTTTAAAGTACATAATTAACTCGCCATTATTCCAATCGGTTAACTTATTATAATGTCAGTGCTATGCCAAACTTCAAGATCCTTCAGTCATGCAATTATAAATTGTAAGCAAAATCTCCTACGTAAATTATTCGAGACACTTTCATTGGCATAAACGCAATTTGGCTTTCCACAAGTTAATTAAATAACTGTATTTAATCTAACACTCCTAATCTTGTAAAACGTCGACCAAAATTCGTACCTAGCCGCAGAGGTCCTACTAACAAAGCAGGAATTAATTTAAAGAATAAGAATAATTAAATTAAAACGAGTGGAGCTACATCAACTATCTCGCGGTATTTATAACGGTTATGAAATTATGTAATACTTGAATCCCCAAAAGAGGATCCAACTCCTCCCTCCTCAAAAATATTTGCACTCTCTGCAAATCAAGTATAGGTACTAACGTTCAGTAAGCATTTAATGAAAGCGCTATACTAATCTCCTGAGCCGACATAACCTTTCCGACGCTTTAAAAAGTTGACCAGTTTTGGAATTTTCCGATGTTTAAGTGGCAGTCGGATGAGTTAGAAAAGAAAATAAGAAAAAATTCAAGATTTTAGAAACCTTTGATTACTTAATTTTCAAAGCTGGACTATTTCATTCAAAATTATGCGGAAAATATTCACATTAAAAAAGTTACTTGACCTTACAAAAATATCAATTTTCGAACTGATTTAATTAAGGAAAAAGTTCAACTTTCAATATTGTAGTTGAACGAACACTCCGCAACAAATTTTAAATATTTAAATTATCTGAAATTCAGACAATTCATAGAAAACCGGAGCTGCACAATTTCCTTAGTTCTGTTAAAGATTTAAAAAAAAATCGAGCTATTTTTTTTAGAGAATCTCGAAAATATCGTTGGACTATAAAAGGAACACCCAAGAATTCGTTTCAAATTTGAGGAACCCCAATGTCATCCAAATTGATTGATGAATACCAAATTTGGTGGAAATCCTGATAACATTTTTAATTTTTCGAAAGATTACGCTAGAAGTTGTCACGATTTAAAAAAGTGCACATCATTTAAACATTTAATTAGGAAGAACCAAATTCAGTTAAAGAAAAATTACTTCAATAATCAATACGAGAGAGGTCCAACAAATTTCTAACTTTTTCAAATTTTCGAATATCCGAAGTTTACTGTAAAATAGGACCTATGCATCTTAGTTAATTTCACACTATTCTTGTATGAAATATAAAGAAACCAGTTGTGCTAAAACAGCAAGTATTTTCTTGCCATTCGTATTGGTTATGTAATACTTTTTATATCATAATTTCTCTCCGAATTTTGTTGTAAATCTCATTTGAAATCGTAGAACGTTTGGCGCGAAAAAACGAGCCCAATGCAAGAAAGTAAAATATTTAAGTTAATATATAATACGGTACTGACAGCGTTGGAGATAAAATAGGTCGAAAGTATATAATAGTAATTATTAAACACTACGGTATTGTGATATTGTACAAATATATACAAATATTCGTTTTTATTTTCGCAAATGCAAAGCAGCGATTATTATCGTATCTGTTCGGCGTTTTAACAATGGCTAACAACCAACAATGACCTCTCACATATTAGTTTCCATATTTAACACGATTAAATAACGCAATTTAAAATTAAATAATATAAATTTATAATAATTAATAATAGTAATAATTAATAATAGTAATAATTAATAATAGTAATAATTAATAATAGTAATAATTAATAATAGTAATAGTAGTAATAATAGTAATAATTAATAATAGTAATAGTAGTAATAATAAAAAAATGAAGTATGAAACAATAACAAATTCTAATTTGCGTAGCATCCAACTGCGTAAATTGGGAGCCGGCAACCAAAGGCTAGCAATCTTTATTTCATATTTATTTCAAAACGTTTTAACAAATTTCTAAAATACTAATTTGTAAACGTATAACAAATGCTCCAATGTAAGGAACAAACGAATAAATATGAAATAATATACACATTAACTTACGTAGCATCTAATGCCTCAAAACACCCAAAATTACGATCAAGAAGCGAAGCAGCATTTTCAGAGTAGGCGATCAACTTTGACGCCGAAATACTCCAAAAATACAGTTTCGAAAAATTGAAAATGACCTTATTTGAAAATCTGTTTTTGATGAACACGTAGCATTAAGAAAAAATGTACCTTCATAATTGTACCTTCATGTTTTTATATATTCCATACTTCGCAATATTGTTCATGGGTATTGTCAGCACTGATACTGATACACTGGATACTGTCAACACATCGCGATATCTCCGAATTTGAAGAGTGTTGAGTGTCAAATAGGATATTGTTACAACGCATGTTCTTGTATTTGGAAATCTTTGTTGGCGCAGAAAAATGCGACGTCGGGTGGTTCACTTATTTCCTCCATCAGGGTTGTCCAACTGGTGGCCCGCGATGCCATTTATTTTGGGCCGCGGAAGGTAATTAGTCAAAAGTGAAAGTCCCTTTTATCCACAATGGGAGAAAATTTATGGTAGAGCCTCCAGCGCACGCGCCCTTCGGGATTCAACACCCCTTTTTTCTGGTAAATTCAGAAACTAAAAACCGTATCAAGTGTTTTACTGCATTATGCATGATATGGCCTGATAGAATGCACTGTTCCACCCCCCGCCAGTTTCAGAGCAGTTGGGCCAAGTTCAGAGCTCAACAATACGGGGAAGTAAGGTGTGGCTCGCCAGAGTAATAAAAATATGGCCCGCGACCATATTAAAGATTTTCGTTGTGGCCCTTGAGGCCTTGTAAGTTGGACATATGTCCTATATCATAGGGTTCAATACATACTGTACTCGTGTTCTCATTAATAAAAAGGCCATATCATCTATTTTGCTTTTTGAAGTTATTTCAAAACCCTAAATAGGACGATTCATTACAAGTATTTTTTTGTAAACCAGCACTATAAACGACCTTTCTGTTGCAATAGTTCATAAAATAGTATATTACTGCTCAACTGAGGACTGTCATTTTATGGCACAACTGATTGCGTCATCGCACATTCAGCCAATCGCAGAAACAGTTGTGGGGAGGTAGCGGTAAACGCAATAGCCGTGTCTTGCGCAGATGTCAAATGCCCGTGACGTCACAAGAAAGTTGTTTAACAAAATTTTTGTTTTTGTTATAAATTGATAATGCTGCTAAACAATAAATGAATTATGCAACTCGTTTGTTGTTTTATTGCATTCGTGCAAATTTGAAAACTCGTCCTAACGTCGCTAGTTTTCAAAACTTGTACGCGTGCAATAAAACTTAACATAATAAACTAATTTGATAAACTACTATTAAGCACTCATCCTCTCTTTAAAAAATATTGATTGTAATAACGTCGTTTTGCGAAGAATGTAAAGAAATCAATATAGCACACGTTTTGCTTTGATCATTTATATTAATATTGAAAATTTTTAATTTTTTTTGTTGGTGATGCTTTATTTTGTTTATTTACCTCGCGTAGCTGGACAAACTGTTCAACAATTAAAATTACAGAACCGTTTTTGGATTCCTTAAATTCAGAACACTAATTTAAAATTGATTTTCTAGATTACGAATACAAACTGGTTGTCATAGTACGCAAGAGTGCAAACATTAAGTCCTTGCGCGATTTAAAGAACCAAAACCTGTGCCACCCTGGGCACGGTTACACCACGGACTGGACGGAAGTCGAAGGAAAGGTGTGTCCTCGTACCATATGGTTAACAAATTATTTCCTTATTTATTTAATACATTCAATTAATCAATCCTTTTTGCAGTTTTTTGAGGAGCGCGTTGTTCCACAAACCTGTGATTTTGATCTAACTATATACGAGAATTTTATAAAATCGTCGTCAACATTTTTTCGAGCTGCGTGCAAAGCTGGTCCCTGGGTACCAGATTCCAAACTTGATGCAGCGCTAAGTAAGTATTGTTGTCACTCATCCTATGTACTACGTGTGTGTACAGTAAGTCATGGAAATAATAATTCGTATTTGAAATGAGCAGAGATGAAGTATAGCAACTTGTGCAGCCTTTGCGACCAACCGAAGCGGTGTTCCGAGAAAGAAAAGTATTGGGGTCGCACGGGACCGCTGTATTGTCTCACAGATGTCTTTGGAGATGTCGCATGGGCTCGACTGGACGACGTACAAATTCACTTTGGGGTAAGTCTTTTGAAGATTCTTTACGAATAAATGTCAATGTCGGATAAGAGTACTAAGTAAATACGAAGATTGACACAGAACGAAACTGATGTTCATTAAAAAATCAAATTTGCAACATCTGTTATAATCTCTTCAACAACGCAATCTTTTCACGCAAATTAAACAAAAATGTATGAAATCAGATGGAGGTTTCCTCTAAATTTGCGTACTGCCATAACGTAGCAAGGAAAAAATGTGTGGTTGGTTTGTGCGATAGAATATAAAGATTGCATCACTTTTGAAAACCATTTTATTTTATTTCTTTGGTGTAGATTTGTTCAGCATCAATTTTACTGCTGGGACCCACTAGTTAAACTAAAATTGGCGACGAGAAATATTTATTTCTGGAGGAAAAAAGTAGCAAAAAACATTATAGCCCTACAAAGTGTGCTGTTTTAATAAAAGCAATTATAATTCTACTATAGGCGTAGACTAGGGTAACGCATTTTTAAAATCAAATATTTCACAATATAATATACCAAAATATATTCCAGTTGACCAATTTTGCTTTCAGTTATCATCTGAAATTAATGGAGTTGCTAATCCTGATGACTACAGCTTTCTCTGTGAAGATGGTTCTCTGCAGCCTTTGAACAATTCAAACCCATGTTCTTGGCTGGATCGCCCTTGGCCAGCCATAATGGCTCAACGGTATTGTCTGCCTTTTAATCTTCCATATTACTTTTACGATCTTGTATAATTATAAATCTGCAGCTGTATGTACTTCCTCTAATATTCATGGTGTCCTGGTAACAACTAATTGTTAACATTGGAGCACTACATGAAACACTCTTAATCTACCACGGTTTATCATCAAAGCAATGAGCATAGTATGATTTGTATTTAAAACTAGTGGTGCTAAAACAGCACGTTCTTCTCGCCTACTTATATCACAAATTCTCTCCGAATTAACAAATCTCGGTTACTTTTTGTAAAACTCGTTCAATTTCGTAGAACGTTTGGTGTGAAAACTAAATATTTTCAAGCAAATATCAACACAAATTTGACAATTATAACTCCTCTTCATACAGTTAAATCACGTCACAAGGAAGCGTAATTTACAGAAATTAGCGAGCGCAACGTGAAATACCATTGTTTCATTCCACTCTGATTTTCAATGAAGGCTAGCAATTTTTATTTAAAATAGATTTTAAATAATTTTTAAGATATTAATTCGTAAACGTATAACAAAATCTCCAATGTAAGAAACTAACAAAGAAATCTGAAACAATATACACATTTTAACTTGCATAGTATCAAACTGCCTCAAAACACCTCTAAAAATACGTTCACAAAGCGTCGTAAATTCAGAGCGGGCGAATTTTTGTAGCCAAATTACACAAATTATCATTTTCAAAAAATTCAACATGACCTTACTCGAACATATTTTTTATGAACATTCTATTAAGAAAATCTGTACTTTCACAATTGTAGTTGTAAGAAGACGCCGAATTATTTTTAATTTTTTAAAATTTTCGTAAAATCGGGCATTTTGACGAACATGACACCTGCACCACTCTTAACCACACTATATAAGGCCTAAATTTAATAAAAAAACGTCGTGCCATTTTTAAGAAAAAACGGTTTGAGGAAAATAAAAATTGCCTAGGTTTGCCACAATATGTCGCAAAAAATACTACGAAATATACTTGAATGAACTATACTAACAAATGAGCATGACTTTATTTGAAGAGTTGTTTTTGATGAACACATTTCATTCAGAAAAAAATGTATTTTAATATTTGTAGTTATAGGAAAACTACGAAATTTTGAATTTTTTTCTATTTTCGAAAAAGAGGGGTTTTTAACCGTGAGATCTGCACCGTCTTAAAGACAATCCTCTAACAATCCTGTCCTTACAATAACAATACTAAAAATTACAATAAAAATAACAAATATAACAAATAATAATAAAAATAAATTAATAATAATAATAATAATAATAATAATAATAATAATAAAATAATAATAATAATAAAATAATAATAATAATAATAATAAGATAATAATAATAATAAAATAATAATAATAAAATAATAAAATAATAATAATAATAATAATAATAATAATAATAATAATAAATAATAATAACCGAAGAATGTGAAACATAGCATTGTAACTTACAATGCTACTTGATATAACGTGAGACAAAAATTGTTAAAGAAATCGTGGAGAAACCAACCATTCCATGAACATTAAATTGAATGGACAAGATTCAGGTCAATAATATTTAATATCAATATAATTATATTTAATATAATATTTAAAATCAATATAATTATATTTAATATAATATTTAAATTCGATCATTTATGTGCCGCAAAAGGAGAAGAATGAAACCAGAATCGGAAGCAGTTGTAATTGTAACGTCAAGAATTGAGTACACATTATAACGCAGATTTCAAAATTTCCCAATGCCGATCCGGTGGCCGAGATTGCTAAGGCAGTAGTGCCGTAGCGATCTCGGATCGAAGGATCGCGGGTTCGAGTCCCGCCTCGGGCGTGTTTGTAATATCAGTCATTTCCCCCTTTTGGTGTCATCAGTTACCATACCGTTACAAGCAATAGTAGTCGCTAATGACCTAGAAGTTAATGGGACCTTAAATAATGAACTAAATTTTCCCCAAAACTTCCACTGTTACGTAAAATTGAGCTCAATATTTCGCATATTCAGAAACGCTCAAACACCATTTTCTCTAAAACGACTCCAAATGTTTTCTTCACTTTTCCAACAGGTAGTGCTAATTTCACTGTTTAAGATGACATAGAATTAATTTATCTGTATTCATTTGTTTCTTAAAAAATTACACAAATATATATAGTTTTAAAGCTTTCTCACGCATTCAATAGGCATATTTCCCGCCATTTATAAACACTATTGCATTTGTATCTGTAAGTGCTTGCAATTACGTCATATGAAGTTTTTCGAAAACTAGTTTTCTGCGAAAATATCTTGTTTCGAATTTACAGTAACGCTTAAATACCATTTTCTTAAAACTGCTCCGGATTTTTCAAATAAAATTGCCATTTGGGACGAGATTTTACTGTTCTTTAATGTTTTGAAAGTAATTGGATTCTACTATTAGGACACGGAAAAATTAAGAAAATTAAAAAGAAATATACTTTGGAATGCGATAGATGGCCGCTGGCAAGAGTATGTGGCAGGTCGGAATAGCTAGCAAAGACCAATAGAAATGGAAAACTATTACGGGAAAGTCTGCCATTCTGTAGCACCACTAGTTATATTGCTCATTATGTAAGATAAAGATTATTTATCAATTAAACATTATGTAAGACTTTCTTACAAGAAATATTTTCTACGGAAATGTTTCCTAATTCATTTCTGTTTAAAGTAAAGCCTGCTCCGTGGAGACGAACGAGAAAACTCTTTCGTCTCAAATGTCTGGGGGGTCTAAAAGTGTTTTTGTTTCGATTTTCCACGTTTCCGGAAACACGTTCCTCGCTATAGTCTGTTGCGGGCTTTAGTTGCGACTGCATTCGAAGCGGCAAGTATAGAAGGAAGGGTCATGAACCTTTCGCCTTCCTGTTATCGGCCCTTGGAGAGTTCAGGAGAGACGCTGGGTTAGCACACCAGGCCAGTGGTTAGAGCGGAATCTTATATTAGCCAGTGTAGGAAGTTTTCTTCAGCAGTCAGTGAAAATAGGTAAAATAGGTAAATCCCGTAGGGTTTTGTAATGCCAAATTTTCGGAGGGTCCCTTGATGGGTATTGCGGGGGATGTCCCGAGATCACTGTGGGTCACAGTAACGGATGACTGGAAATAACCCATGAGTTAAGTGTGATCCGAACTCGTACTTGCTTTCTGCGATCCTTCACGTCCTGCAAAATGAGTAAAGTAACAAATATAATTAATATTGTAGTACCTTGTCCTACCATACCGGCCCAGAATTAGAGCTCATGTCACCTTGTCTGACCACCACATGGATGTTAGTCTAGGGACCCATTGGCGGCTCGAAGCATCGACAGAGTTGGACCAGGGATGAATCGAAAGAGGTGATGTGGTGCTTATACAACGCAAAAGCGAAAAATGTGGGCTCGGAAAAAGAAGTTAACAAGATAGGGAGAGAATCAGCGTGCATATCATCATTGGTGCTCTCTGTCACTTTTCCTCTCTTCAAATTGCGTTTTGCACATTTGTCAAGACCAAATTTCGTGCAGACAATTGCTCAAGCTGTTAGGGAAGGAATCGCTTTATTCTTAGCAACACTTAAAAGATCATTCATGGAAAACAAATGTGATACTGGTCTTTCATCACCATGGAGCTTACAACCAGTCAATGTGAGACGACTGTGAAAGTAGTGGAATTAGCTAATGAAAAACAGCTGAAGTGACAGAAAATCTCCATTAAAATTCCCCTGTTAATCTGAATACTTCGTTCTACTACTCCCTTTCCTCTGCGTATTAGTAACCCTGTACTCCACAACTTTATACCAGCCTCGCAAAACAAAAAATGTAGGATAAAATGGGTAGATCTCCAGGGTCTTCAAAATCCAATCGTTTGGTATAGAGATTTCCAATTTCCCATGTTCTTAATTACTTCGAAGATTTCTTCCGAGAACTCGTGAACAAGTTTCACAATTTACACAAGATCATGCGCAGCAGCATCAACTTCAGATAGGAGCCAAAATGGGTCGTAGTTGGAGAATTTACTTTCTCCTCACATTCATTCACACTCCGCGTTTCCTTGAAGTTTCATTTACTTTCCGAGTTCAAAGTAATAATTCAGACAGATATTTGACAATCGTAGGGGCAGAATACTTGTATGCAGTGAAGGCGCGCTTAATCCTTGACTAGGCGGCGGGTTGCATAGAGTTCAGGGGCGGTTGAGTGGTCATAACGGATAAATCGTCAAATATATATAATATATATATATATATATATATATATATAATATATATATATATATAATATATTATATATATATATATATATATTATTTTGTTTCTTCAGTTAATTGAAATTTTTATGTTAATCTTATTTATGTAATTTTGTTAATTTTAGGTATGCTGCTGTAGGAATTCAAAAGCTAATAGCTTCATTAAAAGGTAATGTTGAAAACAAATGGCAACAGGCCATTCGACAACTGCTGGATGCTGATAGACTTAAATTAGTTCCACTCAGTACCACAAAAATTCCTGAAGATTATTTAAGATCAGGTGTGTTCTGAAATATCTTTCTCTTCTCTTTACTTGCTTATTTGATTCTAACTTTGGCAGATAAAAATACGAAATTTCTGGTGGTTAGAAAATGAAGTTGGAGGCCATTAAAAAATGTTTAGCTTTTCAGTGAGAAGAATGTACAGTAAAAACAAACAGGAAGGGAAGTTCGACAAGAATGTCTTTCGGAAATTTTAATGTTTTACAAATTGACTTCACTGATGATTTGGATCTTGCATAGAACTTGATGTAGGCATTATTGACAATTTCGTTAAAGATTTTTGAGAAAAGTAAAAAATTCAATAACATGTTCTGAGGAGTTGTTGCTCAGATGAAATATTCAGTGGTATTTGAACTTCATCTTTTTTCCAGATCCTATCTTGTAGAGTTAAGTCAGTTGGGCTTATTTTTATTTCAGTAATAAATTAGTGAGTTTGTAGGATGACTTGGGCTTTTGAGATGGTTTTGGCACTTTATCAACATTGAATCTTGAAAATACAATTACAGGAAATAAGTCAATATTTGGTGGTTTATTGGAGTTCAATTAGTTAAAGGTAAAGTAAGTGGGGCTTAAGAAAATTTAAAATATTGATAATGTGTTGTCATTAAAAATTATGTATTTCAAAGCGTTTGGAATAATTTTGCAAGTTGACGCAGTAATGAAGTTGATTTAATAATATAATATATTAATCTGATTTACAGAGCTTTTACTAAGTGATCACATGTCGCCATGTAAATTGCAGGTTTTCTTATTTTTCTCAAATGTCAGAGAATTGTGAATGAACTTAATATATTTTAATTATTAGTAGATGCTTCTTCTTTCTAAAATATCATGAGAACTAGAAATGAGTTTAAATTTTTTGTACGGGCATGTTATACTTACAAAATAATATCAGTTAAAATTCAATATTTATGAATTCAAATTCATATCATTTTAAGTTAAGACAGATTATCAGAAAATTAAGTGTTTGTAAATAGTTACAGGATTCTTAAGTGCCAATTCTATAATTCACTGTGATCGGCATGTTAAATTGTGCACTTACTCAGAATTGACAAATGCAAAATGTAATTGGATTAGCGAAGCAGCTAAAGCAAATGGTGTGAAGCCAGATATTGTTTGTGAAGAGCATGATAACATTGAAAAGTGCATGGATGATGTTAGTCATGGAAACTCAGATGCTGTAATTGTTGAAAGTAACCTCCTGAAAATTGCTTCAAGGTACACATGAATATGTTTTTAGACGTATAAGGAACACTATTAAAAAGAATAAAATAAAATTTAATTTTTTCTTCAAATATTTTCATATTAAAATATAAGCAATAATACAATAAATTATGTTTTAAAGTAAAAGGTGTATTACTTATAGTTTTAACTTCACCAACATATTTATAAATTGTTGTAAATTAGTACCTTATTGTATCTCTGGAGAATATTTATAAATTAAAATTATTTATACATGCAAGGACAAATTATCCATTAAGTCTTACAAAAAGTTTTCTTTGCAGAAAGTATAACCTTATTTCAGTTCTCTATGAGCACATTAACTTGGCTAGCACTGCCTACAACATAGCAGCTGTGGTTTTGGCTAGTTCATCAATAAAAAGTTTGGAGGATTTACAAGGCAAAAGAGCTTGTTTCTCACAATATGATGGTACTGGTAAGTATCTGTGGATTTTTGTTACCAATTATCAATTATTATTTAATTGGTCAAGTCAGGAGCTGTCTTCATTGCGAGGCTGAGGAACGCACTCTGTTTTTAGAAGTTGCCCTCCACCCTGCCTAGTTTGCAACTCTTACCTGTCCTAAGTATATTGCTCCAAACGTCCATAGGCAAAAATTAAAATGGGCAATTGAGAATAAATAAAGCAAATAACTGACACCCCGCTCCCTGCATGCAAACAACTCAGCTTCTGACAATAAATAACAATTAAAACATCTGTCCTTCTTCTTTTAATGTTTTGATCATAATGATTTTTCTTTTTAAAGGGTGGAATTCTGTCATATATATTTTGAAAAAGTACAACCTTCTGTCTTCAATTTGCCCTTACAATAAAGCAATTGGAACCTTTTTCTCAGAAATATGTTTGCCTGGATTAAACAGCAGCTTCTCCAAAAATGAACTTATCAATAATATTTGTGGAGGTTTGTGAAAATCTAAATTAACAGTACTTCAAAATGTGGGTGATCAAAAAAGATCTGGAAACTTACTTTTCATTCAAATTAAAGATTACATTAAATAATACTTTTCTTTGATTAAAATCTTCCTGTTCTACAGATTCTGCAAGTCTTGAAAAATTTAGTGGAGAATATGGTGCTCTGGAATGCCTTCGATCTGGGAGAGGAGATGTGGCATTTGTTCCACAGAAATTTATTTTCAATGGAACAGGTTTGTAGTATTCTAGTATTAAGAAAGGCAAAAATTGTTCACGGGCGTATATTAATTGTAAACAATGTTCCAGATACTAATTGGCCTGCTTCTCATAAATACAAAGAATTTGTTCTTGTATGCCCTTCCAACAATACAAAGGAATGTTCTCTTAGTCGAACAACACCTGGTCAGGTATGCAATTCATGACTGTATAAAAGTGAACCAAATGATAGGAAATTATGTAATAAATTGTTTTGTTTTTACAGATAATGGTAAAGTCGGATATTTCACCAACTAAGTTAAGAGAAGTAAAAATGGTATTCGAATACATTAGCAACCAGTTTGGTAGACACCCAAAGCAAAATAAGCCAATTTTCAAGATTTTTGCTCCTTTTGATGGTCACAAAAACATCCTATTTCATGTATGTAGTGCACTGTGATGCATTAAGTTGTCAAGTTAAATACAAAATTTTCTTTTTAAAATAATTTTTTATCTTGCAGGATGAAACGGAGAGTCTAGAGGATGATGACTTTCATACATTACATGGTTCACCAATAAGTTATCACAAAATAATAGAAGATTCTATTGAATGCTCAACAGCTTCATTGAAATTGTCTAGCTATATTCTTTTGACAGTTACATTGGTTATTTTCTTATGTGCTCTAGTCTGAGAAGAGTGATTTTATTTTAAAAAGAAATGCAACTCAGGGAATTTTACTTTAGAACATAGTAAAAAGTGATTTTATTCTCAAATTTTATCACTTGTTTAATTAAAGTATTAAAAAAAGTTAAAAGGGATAAAAAAAAGGAGAGAGGAAATGGTGAACTTGGATGCGTTAGCCTTCTGTTTGAATGTTGAGATACTTTTTTTCCTACTAATTTTTGTACAAACTAATAAATTATGTTATTAAATAAAGTATGTAAAGAATTGTGATGTGAATGTGTTTCCTTCTTTATTGTAAAGTGAAGTTACAAATAAGAGTATGCAGTGGTAATAAAGATTAGAACAAGGTGATTTTAATGTGTTTTGGCATTGTTTTTATTCCAGTTTCTGCATTCCATAAGAGATAATTCAAGATAAAATATTAATGCACATTATGAATGATATCAACTGGTGGGGACATGACTCATCCGACTTCAACCACTTCCCCAGTAGCCAATGACACATTTAAAAATACAGCATTTACCAACTTTCTACACTGATGAAAATAATTAAATACAAAAGTTGGTAATGATTCTCTGCCCACTCCTCAGTTTCCAATAGGTGAATAGTCAATGCTTGGCTTGGTGTGAATTATACCCCTTACCTTTAAGGACCCCTGTATACGATCATTGCATTGCTGTGAAATAAGTAATAGGAATACTGTCTCTTATGTAAAAATGACCTAGTGCTGTGGTGGTTCTGCATAAGCTACAATGTTAATATCTGGCATTGTAAATTACCATGCATCAACATAACGGTCATGTGGCACTGGCCTAAATAGGCTAGTTGTAAGAAAAAAATTAATTTTACAAAGATTTGATGAATTTAGTTCAACACACTTTCAACCTTAGAAAAACTTCATAACAAAAACCAGAATGATCTGATCTCTTGAAAATATTTTTAAGAACTAATTATTCTGTGGAGTACTTAATTTTACATTGACAAGTAAAATAAATGTGACATAATAATAAATAATTTAAAATTGCATAAACTTTTCATTTCATAACCATTTCTGATTATGATTGGATTAAATGACATTTCAATTCTAATTTGGCTTAATTTCTTTTTCCAAAATAAAATTTTAAAAATATTTTATCTAAATAATGTTCTTGGTGTACCATAAGGAAAACTCTCCATGGAATTGACTTCATATAAACTGAGATGTAGTAATAAAATGTTTTGATTAATCTGAGCAGGCATTTTTTTGGGGGGGCAAGTTGTTTACTTTGTTCTACATGTACTTATTGATGTATACTTATCATTTTGTCTGGGTCAAACTGGCCCTCTTCAATAAAGAGAAGAATCAAAAAAACTTGTTTGGCTCTGGAATTTTCTTCAGATAACATTCATTTTATATTGATATATTAATAGTAGTTTAGATATTTGTATCTCCTAAAAGATGGTATAAATTGAAACCTTAATATCTGGAATGAATAAATTGTTTTGATACTAATATCAAGGGCCTACTGCAAGTAAGTTATATGGTTGAAATAATGACAACATACAATCTTGTTGGAAAAATAATATTCTTTATGGAAATATTTAGTACACGGCTTAAATTTAGATATATTCCTAAAACTGAGCCCTTGAAATTCAAGATTTTAATACTTAAGGAAGAACATATATTTTGAAATTTGAAACGAATGTTCCACGAAATATCTCATGAACAACAGTGCATTTGCTATATAGCTGCAAGAATCAGAAGAACATTATTTTTAAAGGCTGAAATTATTACCCTCTACAAAATATACCAGAAGTATATTTGGTTCAGGTACCATACGTATGGATTCAGGATGAAAGGTTACGATTTCCATGCAGACGATGCAGGCAAACGCATCGTCTGCATGGAGCTTTCGTGTTCGCGGGCAGAATACGATTCGATGATGTATGGTTGCCAACGTATGGAGACAGAACAGACACCAAACCGAAACCCCAGAACCCCAAGAATAATTTTTAAATTTCAAAAATAATTCTTATAGATAAGAAACAAAATGTTTCGCAACAGTTTTCACTTCTATTAGTTTTTAAGATATTGGTACGGCTCGCGAGAAAAAAATTTACTTTTAAACAACGTTTATGTACATGTTCTTTGAGGAAAATGGTGTCAGTCAGAGAATAGGTAGTGCCATCTATGCAGGTCAATGACGTCACACAGCAAATTGAGGTGTTGATTTCCTGTGTTCAGAAGTGGGAGTGTTTGTCTGGAATTTTGTGCAATATTTTTTTGAAAGCCTGAGAATTCAAGATGTTAAACATGGAAACGGATAAAATAATTGAAGATTCTAACACCAACTCGCAGGTAATCAAAAATCTTGTGCATGCATAGGATATTGCTTAGTAATATCTGTTGGGAACATCGCCATCTTGCGACGTTGAATTGGCTTATGCACAATTTTCATGGCTAGAAGTTGGACCTTGAAAATCGTTTCCCTATAAGTTACTGTTCATTATTTCACCATCCAAATTTTCTGTTATTTAAGACATGTTCCGTTGTTGGTTTTTTTCTCCTTCGTGGTTTTCGTTAGTTTCGTAGAAATAAGTCAAACTTGCTTATTTATTTCCAATTGTTTGACATTTCAACGGTATTTGTAGAATGAAATATTCGACAAATATTTCTAACAATGTGATATGCAACTTTTGGCCTCAATTGCGGTATTTGACGTCTTTTGAATTTGAGCACTGTGCTCGGTCAAACTGTTGGCGTATTATTTACTTTTTTGCCGTAATTTGACATGTGCCCTTAGAGTAGATTTTTATATTCATTCATTTAATTGAGTTTCGACATCGGATAGATGCTAGAGGTGCATTATATTTCGTTAGTCAACGTTCCTTGTCCCCACATCCGTGACGAAGTCAAATTCTTCCAAGTTTTGTAAACTTTGAAATTGTGTACATCGCGTCATAGAAGGGTTAGTCCATCTGTTTGAACATTTCCGTTAAAATTTCTTCATTAATTATGTCCGTCAATTTTTGAAAGAAATTTGTTGTGATACGGTAATGTTGTTTGGCAAATTCTTAGTGTTAAATTTTCGGAAAGTCAGTCTTAAATAATTTTGAGACGTTCTGCGAACGTGGCCTTCAAAATCAACGGGCCATGATGCTGTGAGATATGCTGCTCATCGGCACCTGTTCTTTCTCCGCACCGTGGCTGGGTCGATGCCTGAGGCGGAACGATGCGCTCGTGCTTCCGCGTTTCATGGCTACGTCATGGAGATTCCAGTCGAAATCTGCTGCCTAAAAGCCAAAAAGGGTCCTTAAAATGACGTTACTCTCCCGGGGTGCCTCTCGTACCTGTCGAGTGTGATAATTTCATCGCGATTCTATTGTAGTCTCAGATTTCCTTGTCCCTGAGACCCATGTGCGGAAGTACTAGTCGCGAAGGCCACTTAAACTTTCCCTTTGGCGTTTTGCAGAAATCGTAGGTGGCTTTCTGTAGTCGAGGACGGGGTCAAATTACCTAGGGATATGCACCCGGATACAGGCCAGTGTCTGATCCATTGACTTAACGGGTGACCTACTGATTTGAGCTTGTGCTACTTTTGGAAGTTGTTGGTGTCTTGTAGCATCGTAGTCGCCAGCCGTCCGGATACGCATCTTTGTTTTCGGTGACATCGGTCATGCCCAATTTTTTTTGAAGCGGATTTCTAAAAATATTACTTATTTTTAATTTGTGTTTATAGAATTCCATAGAAACCATTATACTATTTTTCTAATAAAGGCAGGCGTCATTCAGTAATGTTCTGGCGATAGGCTACTTGTAAAGACGTAAACAAGCTTATCAGAATGAGACCATGAGCTCTTGACATACGTAATTGGAGTGCTCAGTTACTTCCGGGCCGTGTTGGGAATCTGAAGTGTTATCACTGAACCGTGTCGGAACGGTGGGCGTACGTACGTACTCACGCACGAGAAAGAAAAAAAAACTTATGCATGACGTGTAATTGGGGATTATGCTCCGCATTGGTCATCAGGGCCTTGACCGCGCACTTGAGAGAAGTAGCCAGGGCGACGACCCGAGTTCGACTGCTGCCGAACAGCCGCGACTCGTCTCTCCCGGCCTGTAGCGCCCTCAACACCCAGTGAAGTTTCGCCTCGGGCGAGCGGCGCATGTCTCTGGGGCCGAGATCGAGACGCGTCTAGGGAAAGTTACTTCGCTGTGTTGCCTGGTCGTGGCGCATGGGTACGTGTAAACGTGATAGGCAGAATAATCTACTTGCGCCATTGTTTGTGGTTTCGCTGTCACTTTCAAGCACGCTTCCACGGACCCAAGGCCTTTTCGTGAACAGATGCTTTGTTGAACGCGAGTTCCGCTCGTAGAAGCCCCGTTACTGAGGACCATTAGCAGGGGGAAGCAGTGTCGTTCTCTCGCTTTGAAGCGCATTCCTCGAATCATTCCTGAAGAAATGGTAACTACTCTCGCAGATGTTATTACTATTCTAATATGTTACTATGCAAATGTATGTTGTATGTTTCAGTACCCAATGACGATTCTATATGATCCTGCTAGAAAGAAAGAGCCCTCGCCACAGTATGTTACTGAACGTGAAACATGTCTCAAGTACTTCGAAAAGTGGAGTGAACAAGATCAAGTGGAGTTTGTGGAACACTTATTATCGAGAATGTGTCATTACCAACATGGTCATATAAACTCTTATTTGAAACCAATGTTGCAGAGAGATTTTATCTCGCTCTTACCAAGTATGTTTTCAACTAAATTACAGCATGGATATTTCAGTGTGAAAATGAAATTTGTATCCTGTGGGTCGTCACATCTACTTGTATCAGTTGTGTTCATTACTAAAATGAGCAAGAAATCACATACCCTGCCATTACTGTGAACTTCCAGGAATTGAGAATTGATGTGCAAATAATATATAGAAAATCAATTAAAATGTGCAATGTTGTGCAAGAGTGTTTGAAGGATAACATAAAGAATGTTGCAACGGTGCTTGATTTCTACTGTCTAATGGTTGAAGCATTAAAATGTCAATGGGGAAGGTTTGGTTTGGAAAATAATATTGAAGTCATTCTTTTTTACTACAATGGAAAAGTATAGTTATCTGAATATATGTTGGCTAGGTGGGGTGGGTCTTCAAATGTCACATACTGCATCAAATAGAATCAAGATATAATTGTCCAATTTGCTACTGTTGTAAAAATAGACAAATTATGGTGTTTTCCTTCCTTAAAAATTGCTCCACATTTTAGTAGATAAATGTTAAATGATTTCATGCACCCAAGAAGTTCACTTGGCAATTACTTTGAAGAAAAGTGTATATTATCTGTGAAACACGTTTTTTTTTTGGTTGAAAGTAACTTGTGTTTTATTAACAAATTGTTAAAATTGATCATTGAATTTGTTTGGGAAATTTAACAAATGGTATTCATTGAATGCACCTGGATGAAAAAGAAAATTCATTTTTGTTTTGCAGAGAAAGGGCTTGATCATGTCGCAGAAAGCATTCTTTCGTACTTAGATGCAGATTCTTTGTGTGCTGCGGAATTAGTGTGCAAGGAATGGTATCGTGTGATATCAGAAGGAATGTTATGGAAAAAACTAATTGAAAGAAAAGTTAGAACTGACTCTCTGTGGCGTGGCTTAGCAGAGAGACGAGGATGGTATGTGAGAAATTCTGATGAGGGGTTGTATTTTACCTGCGTAGACATGGAATTTCGATTATATGGGATTCTTTTAAAAATAACTGAAGTTAATTTTTGTCTCCAGGATACAATATTTATTTAAGCCAAAACCAGGAGAGAGTCATCCAAATCACTCATTTTATAGGACGTTATTTCCCAAAATAATTCAAGATATCGATGTAAGTTATTTTTCCCTTTCTTTAATGTAAATAGTGTGTATTATATGAGAGGAAAAGTGGAATTTACACCCTTCTTGAAATCTTCTTGTGTTATGTCTGTGCAAGAAATGTGTAATTAAAGGCATCACAGATATTTAGTAATAGTTAAAAATTGTTGTATTTTATGTAATGCTATGTTGTGGACTTATGTAAAAATATGTTTTTAAAAACTTCATTATTTACCTCTCAAATGTGAATGTGACAAATGTTCACAGAGTATAGAAAATAACTGGCGAATGGGAAGACATGTTCTTCAGAGAATTAATTGTAGATCTGAAAACTCCAAAGGTGTCTACTGTCTTCAATATGACGATCAGAAGATAGTGTCAGGTCTTAGAGATAATACTATCAAAATTTGGGATCGTAATACTCTTCAATGCACGAAGGTAAAGATTTACAATGTTAATATGTGAAAGAGGTTTCAATAATCCATAGTACTTCAAAGAAATCTTACTTTTAAAGGTCTTAACGGGGCACACTGGTTCAGTTTTGTGCTTACAATATGATGACAAAGTGATCATTAGTGGATCAAGCGATTCAACAGTCAGGGTCTGGGATGTGGTATCAGGTGAAATGGTAAACACCTTGATTCACCATTGCGAAGCCGTCCTCCACTTGCGTTTCAACAATGGAATGATGGTTACGTGTTCAAAGGTAAGAAAAATTTTGAAATTTACAATTCATTTATATAAAGTAAATTATACCAGATAGTATTTTGATGTTCATTCTTTTAAACTTCAGGATCGTTCTATAGCTGTATGGGATATGACGTCACAAACGGAAATCACACTTCGGCGAGTGCTAGTAGGTCATCGTGCAGCTGTAAATGTAGTGGACTTTGATGAAAAATATATTGTGTCAGCATCTGGTGATAGGACAATTAAGGTGTGGAATACATCAACTTGCGAGTTTGTGCGCACACTTAATGGACATAAGAGAGGAATTGCGTGTTTACAGTACAGGGATCGTTTAGTAGTCAGCGGAAGTTCAGACAACACAATCAGGTGTGTACGTGGTTCATCATACAATTTTTTTATTTTAGGGCTTGAATGAAGTTCTGAACTCTAGTCCTTTAAGCAGTATTCCAGGGGATTATTGGAAAAAAAACTACTTATTCCAAAGTGTATGGTATTGTTTATTCTGAGTTTACAAATAATGCAGAATTTTAAAATTCACAAAGTTTATATTTAATTCTCTCCTTTAAACTAACTTATATTCATAGTGTTCATTATTTTATGTAACAGATTTTGAAAACTCTGATTTTCTGTACTTACATTTTTGCTTGTTCTGAATTCACAAAAGTGTTCATGTGTTTTTTGGAAGGTTTGTCAGATATTTCATGACTTACAACCTTAGGGAATTGATATACTGTAAAACCATCAGAGTGGAAGATTGATGGAGAAACTTTTTCAAAAACACATTGCAGAACTGCTTTTTTATTAAAACAAAATTTGTGAATGAAGTCTCACAATTCAAATATGATCAATATGTGGTACAGAAAATGGATTTACCTTCTGTTTGCTCCAGTCTTGTGATATTGACATCAAGAAATCCCTTCATGATCATAGGATATGGTATAAAGTGTTCATCTATTATCTCAGTTTTATCTATAATTTTATAGTTGATATTATGGAAGATTTAGTAGAATATATCTTATATACTTCTAACTGCTTACGTTGCAAAAACAATTCTTATATTAAGTTTGTTAAAAATACTTGCATTTGATGTTTTTATTTCTTACTTTTTTCAGATTATGGGATATTGAATGTGGAGCATGCTTGAGGGTACTAGAAGGTCATGAAGAACTTGTACGTTGTATCCGTTTCGACAGTAAAAGAATTGTCAGTGGAGCTTATGATGGGTAAACAAGTTTGTATTTTCTTGCAAATGGCAGTTTTGCCTAGGATACTGTGCCTTTAGAAAGAGTTATGAGGACAGGAGAAATTTAAAATCATATAGATTTCCTGTTTCTGTTTATTGCTGGAATGATTTGTTTTAATCTTCGTACCATATTTGCTCTTCTTTCAAGTACTACTCTGGGGGATCTGTTCTAGCTCCCCAAGTTGTAATGACTACTGGAAGTGGTAAATGTGAATGAAAATGGTCATACTCAGAGTGTAAAAGAACTTTTAAAAGGATATCTTCCATAAGATATTCTCATAACATAATAAATATAATTTACAAATATAAAATATTTTACATAGAACATAACCTCCATAGTACATAAACTATTTTTTGATATGTAATGTTTCCGAGACATTTGAAAGTGGTTTTGAGAAGAAAAATCAAATATTAATGGTTCCATATACATATCGGTTTGTGAGAATGTTTCAAATTAAAATGGGGAAATTAATCTAGACTATTTGTAGGTCTCTCAGGGCCTAAGTAACAAAAAATTGATTCTCTTATACTATTTTAAAAAATGCATGAAAACCTGCTTGAGAAGTGCACGAATGCGTAACTAGAAGACTTAAAATATACAGTGAATATTCAGAAAAATACTAACAAATAAATGGTGCTCGGTTCAAAAATACCCCAGGTGTGGTACAAGGTTTATAAGAGAATATTGGCATATTGTGCGAGGTTCTTGAATGCTGTATTTCACTAAAAATCTTCCATGAAAACTAATAGGAGTATCTTGGAAGATCAATATCCTATACTAAAACTTAAATGATGTAGATAGATTTACATTGTTTTCCAATTTGATGCTGTATTTTGTTTGGAACATCCTGTTCTAAAATCTAATAGTTGCACTAAAGTAAAGTGCATTTTTTTTTTTCTTCCATAGATATGTATGTGGATTTTTGTATCTTATTTTTTTGAAGGGACTAAGGGATTCTAACACTATTTTCTTCTTCCTTATACTTGCCTTTTTTCATACTTCCATGTCCATCTTCACTTCCATTAATGATTTATTCTGGGCATCCTTTCATAGTAGGCTTTCTTCTGACTTCTCAGGTCTTCCTGAAAGTTTTGCTTGATGAATTTGTGTTTGACTTGTATCTAACCCACTTTAAAAAAAATCCCTACTGTGACTGCATTTTCTTCCCATCGTGTTGTTTGTTTCTTCACTTCTTTAACAACTGTTAACTTTAAATTCATATACTTTATTGTCCGAGTGATAGAATTATAGAAGTTAGAAATCTGAAGTCGTTAGATAACAAAGTCTCTGCCATGGTTTTCATGTTGTTTTGCTTACTTCAACGTTATTTGCTGAAAATTCTCATATATGGCTCATTCAAAAATATTGGTTTGAATCTCCCAACACATGGATTCAAAGAAAATGTTTGTGGATATAATTCAGTAATGATTGGCATAGGAATATAATGAATGATTCAATAGCTAATAGTTCTTGTGAATCTATCTTACTTTTTGAAACACAAAGCATGTAACATACCAAAATTGTTTTCCACTGAATTGTCTAACAAGACAGATTACATTCATTTGTAGATCTTCAATTTACTAGGCTCTACCATTCATTACTTCGTAAGTACAATATGTCTAGCAGAAAAGACTTTAGGCTAACTTGTACTGTGAGCAGCCACAATGACATGTCTACTGTCAAATTTGCTTGACTCAAAATCAACATCCCTTAGGAGGGACAGGTTTTGCTATTGCAGAGAAAAGGGTAGTATAGACAGTTCATGTCAGGATCTATGCAGTACTTAAGATCTTTGGAACGATGCAAATGGTGGAAAAAATATTTTCTCTTTAAAAACTGGTGTTAATTACAACCATCTTGACTGGTACAAACCTTTTAGATCCAACCTGTAGTTAGGTTATTGTCTTTGCAGCTTGTTACATTAGCATTCAAGTTTCTTGACACAGAAAAGCAATTTAAAATCACTGATCCCAAATGGCTAAGCTAAATTTGAAAATTTGTTTTGTTTGAATGAAATATACAGAATCAAATCTAGTCTAATGCTAATATGATAATTGGCTTTTCCCAAGTTCTTCCTTGTCTAATGTTTACTAAACGTTTTGACTGTTTTTTCAACCCTTGAAGACAAGTATGAGGTATTAGTTTATTATAGTGAAATTTAGTTATAGTTTGGAATAAATCAATTTGGAATAAAAATTTTATTTCAATATATCCATTCCAGGATCTACATTACTTCAAGAATTAACAAATAAGAGCTTGATAATATGTAAGAGGAATAAAAGAATATAATACTAAAAATACTGGAATTACAGTGGGTATTCTGTGATTTTTCAGTAAATTGCTACTTTTGATCATTTGTCAAATTGTACACATGAGTGCACATTTAGAATTAAATTTTTCTTGTAGGTCTGTAGTTTTTTTGAAAATTGTGTTGATATGAAATGATATGAAGAATTGATATGATATGAAGAACATGATTAAGCGATAATCTTAACCTTTTCTTTGGTCAATTTTAAACATTTCACTTCTATCCAAACAATAGCATTACTTCTTTCTTTGAAAAATGGTTGGAAATTGCTTGGGAAAATGGCCGTGGCAGGATCGTGTGAATAGTAAAAATAATGTTATAAGAAAATATTTATTGTAAAACAGGATGGATATTAATTAGTTTAGCAACTATAGTTGATCAAAAAGGAGAAATTTCATATATAATATTCAAATTTTATTGAAGTAAAAGTAATGAATATAAAAACCATAGGTAAAGTCATAGGGTAAATTCACAAATTTCATAGAGCTGAAATATTTGCGATCTATTTGTTTTGATGACATTTCTGTGGGTATTTATTATTTGTTGCCCTTTTACAGGAAGATAAAAGTATGGGATTTATTAGCTGCATTGGACCCTAGAGCTCCAGCTAGTACATTATGTTTACGAACTTTAGTGGTAAGTATTTTATGTTCTGTAGTAGCTTTTAAGATTACATTTTTTGGTATAAATATTAAACTTAAATAAGGAGACCCAACCGTATGATCCAAATTATTAGCTTTGTACCAAAAAAGTCCTATGAAGATCCTGTTGTAAGAGAGAAGATTTATTCAAATTATTAACTTTGCAAAGAATGTTCATCAGCAATGCATGATGTTTCCCATAGGTAAGATTAGTTATAAAAGCTTTAAATAATAGTGGTCCAAGGATACCCTGGAGCACTTGGATGCCCTAAGATGGTGAGCTGGAAAATTCAATGTGCAATTGTTGAGATAAGGCTTCAACCAATTCAATAGAGGACTAAAAACTTCATTTTCTCAAAAACTGTGATTCAGAGTTCCCAAAGGCTCTAGAAATGTCTATATAAACAGTGTCAGCCAAATTGTAAATATCATGTATAGTAAACTAGGCACCAGTAGACTTACCACTCATAAAACAATGGTCTTTTTAACCCTTATATTAAAAAATTTTTCACTAATTGATTCTTAACAAAGTATTTAGTGTAGTGTTGAAAATAGCATTTGAATGATAATTTTCACACCTGATCTCCAGGTTTTTAAGATCTTGTTAATTTACCAAAAGGCTGGAAAGATGCGAGATTTTAATGAAAGCTAGATTGAAGTCACCCAAAAATAAAACAAAGCATTTTCATAATAATTGCATAGAGCAGTCACAGTAGCATTATAAATAGCTGCAGTCACATTAGCAATATCTATATCTTTTAAGCAATAGTAGAATGGAAATTCCATCAAAAAGTATTAAAGAATTTGTTGTGTTGCATTTCTTTGTTGTGACAGGAACACACAGGAAGAGTATTTAGACTGCAGTTTGACGAGTTCCAAATAGTTAGTAGTTCTCATGATGACACAATCCTGATCTGGGACTTCTTGAACTGCAATCCTCCAGAAGGAACTCCACCACAGCAGCAGGCCATGACAGCTCTCAGCAACCGCTCTCCAACACGCACGTACACTTACATCTCAAAGTAATTACTGACAGTGATGGCTCTTCCAGGTTTTTTTCTCCACAACCAGGGTTGCTGTTTTTTGAAAGTTGTCTTATTATGTATATATCAGCTTTCATAAGCTGTTATTGAAAATGAATAATTTTGAAGGTTTAACTTTTTAAATATTAAATGCCCTTTTCCATTAATGAAATCTCAAATTAAGAAATACGAGAAACCATGGTTGTGGAATACTTTTAAGTTCAAGAATGTTTGTTGGCACATAGCTCGTGTTGCATGGATAGCATGATTGTTGAAATAGTTAATAATGATCACAATGAGTGAAAATTACAAAAGGTTATTACTTTAAAAATTAATAGGTGTATATATAAAGGCTTACATTCCACTTGCACAAAATGGGGTTTTCTTTTAAATGTCATAGTTCATTGACCGTGGTAGATTTTAGATATATTCATTCCTTGGTTGAAAAAGAATGCCTGTTTGGCTGGTTGTGAAACTTGCAAGTTTTATAATTCCCCTTGCTGTTGTTTGTTGTAGTTTTTGTGCTGTCTGAAGTCAATAAACTCTTTTCAAACACTGTCAAATCACAAAATATTCATAATTAACATTTTTTCAAATTTCCTTTTGTGTTGGAAAGCCACTGTTAATTTTGTCATCAGGACTGTTGAATTAAAAATTTTTCCTTTCAGTGTTGATTATTCTAATGAGATATATAAAATATATTTTTCTAAAAATTAATTGATTAAAGAGATTTACTGCCAACACATTTAGGTTGATGTAATTCAGTGTACTATCTTCGCTGCATGTTGCTATTTTGTGCTTTGGCTTCCGAGAAATCCAAAATAGTTGCTGTTGTAGCATGAGAATCTAATCCCTCAACAGTCTGTGTGGGAGTTGTCCCCCATCTTATGTTGATGCACTAATAATTTTACCATACTACTGAAAGAAAAAAATTGCAATTAAAATGCATTCTGTTTCTTTAATTTGTTAATTCTGTGAAAGAATTTTGTTGTTGTTTAGATGATACAACAAAAGTTCCATGACTAGCATTTCAGGAATAATAAAAGTTTTCAATGTGTCGTTAAATATAAACACAGAATAATCTTCTGTTGACTTAAAAACAATTTGAGTTTTGTTTTTAAATGCTTTTTATATTCTCCAATGTTTTATTTTGGTTTAAGTAGAAATAAGTGGATTTTTATTTGAAATCATACATTTAAACTGTTTAAAAGTTGTTGATTTATATTGTAATAAGACCATAAAAATGGCTTTGTTGAAAGTGAGACTTGTGCCATAATATCTCTTCTTCTGTCTGACTCCTACATGTAATAACACTACTGGTTGCTACTTCATTGAAATAATATTTTTACAGATTATCAGGCGAAGTTTTTAAAATTGAAAAAAAGGGTAATGTGAGAATTCTTAGTGAAAAAATATTGGGGGTTTGTGTTTATGAATTCAATTTCAAATAGTGTATGAAACCATGCATATATTTCTGCCTAGACTAAACTAATTCTAACACATTTTAGCAAATCTATATTATCATTTTTGTTTATTTAATTGAATTGTCAGGTCTCCTATATTATGTCTCTTCCAGACTTAATTTAGGAAGTGTCATTTCACACCTTAAAAATTAACACATAATTGTCTCGTATTGCTTGTTTCATACTCCTCCTTCATTGACCTTGTGCAGTTTTATTTGCACTTTATCAATTTGTACTATTTGATAGTTCTTTCTTTCCTGTTACCTGATCTGGTAAAAAGTTATTCCTGTTATGAAAAAAAAGCTCCATGCTTTAAGTGTTTGTTGAAAGTGGGAATTTATCATTTGTTCATGTACCTTTTCATATTTCTCTGTGATATCCCTTGACCCCACTTGCTGCTTGTACAATTGTTCTGGGTGTAGGAATTCTTTTCCTCAATTACACACATAGAATGAACATAGTTGCCTGTCAGGCAAATATGTTTTATATTATGGAGTGATTAGGGCATAGAGGTAACACAGGAGAGTCTTGGAATGCCTGCCACAACATAAACACAATTTTGCACATTCATGCTTTAGGCTGAGTTTTGAAACCACAACTGTATTGACCATGTATTTGGATTCACCTGCCACAAAACCATCTTGGGAGGTCTAGTCACTTCGTTGTACTGTATTTGGAAACATTTTAGTTATCTAAGATAATGATAAAATGATAAAACTAATATTAAAACTAAAAATGAACTTTTTATGCATATACAGCCTGTAATTGCTTTGCAGAATCGAATCTATGTATTTAATTTTTTTTGTCTCTAGGTTTCCATAGCAATGGAAATAGCATTAAAATATTTCAGCATTGCCCTCAGTAACAAACTATTATCTGAAAGTTAATTAATTCTACATAAAACATTGTAGAACATAATATTTGCAACCATTTACACAACAATTCAACAAACTTCCATGTAATATTTGTATTGAGGAAATGTTGTTTTGTCACAAAAAACACACATTTTTCACATTTTATTGGTTTTTGGTGCCCTATTAATAGAAATTAAATGACTTCAAGAATAGCGTAGAAGAGTAAAAACTGACTCTATATGCAATGTTTCATTTTAAATTGTGGAGACCTTTTTGAGAAAATGTCTTTTGAGCGTTGCCAAAAATGTTCAATTTTGAGCTCATTTTCTTAGAATCTTGATAAGAATCCTTAGAAGTACTTCTTTTCACACACTCAAAACATTATTTAAAAAATGCCTTCGATGTAAATGTTAATGCCAGGAGAGATATTTAAAAAAAAATACATTTGTGTAATTTTTTAAAAATTAATTGAAAAGGGTATATTGATTTGTTGTTTTGTTTTTCTAGTCCGTGCATTTATCTACACTTGCTGGCAGGTTCGATTGTATGAGGTGTTTGTTAGTATAAAGGTTAGCGTATCGGGTTATTGTACCCAAAATTAGCTATATTTAACTTGCAGAGTACTTCTGTTGTGTTAAGCTTCCATTTTTACATTCTCCCATACTGCTTGGACAATATAGAGAAAGTATTGTAAAGCTGCTGGAATAAGTTGCCATTTTTCCACAGATAAACTTATTGCTGGATCCTGGTAATAAAAAATTCGAAAAATCTTGTTTCTATATGTCAGAAAATTATTATCTAACATGTTGTGTAGTAAGGATCCATTTTTAATGGGTCCTCAGCACTGAAATACTGGATTATAGGAACCGTCTGTTTGTCCAGGCATGAACGCGAGTCGCCAAACTGTCGATATGATATTCACTAAAATTGACATTTTGATCTGACTGATGTCAAGGCTCCTTGAATTTTAAATGGGCATTTTGATTTTGAGGCGAACTTTACCAAAAGCTTCAACAATTTCAAAACATTCTTAAAAATGTCTCCAATTTTTTTCATGAAATTTTTTTGTAATGTAGAGCAAAAAATGCTTCAAGAAATGGCATAGGTTCCATTTTCATTGAAGTCTCGGGATTTTTTAATATCTTCCTACAACTACAGTATTGAAGAGAAAAATGTTTTCTGTAATGAAATGATGTTCAAAAATAGATCTTAAAAGTGGGTCATGAACAATTTTTTGAAAATATGAATAATTTTGCTTGAAACAGGAAATTTTTAAACAATTATTAAAAATTCAAATTACCCCCATATATAGCATAAAACGGCTAAGAAATTAGCTCTAATCCAATTTATTGCAAACTCTCATTATTTTCGAAGATTTCCAAGAATTTGAATTTGAATTTCTTGCGCTTTGATTGACGAACTGTCAGTGTGCAAAATGGGTATGTGGCAATAGGATGGTTTGAAATTATTAGAATTTTTCTCATAGTCGACAGTTAGTAACGGTAGCATTTCTTTAAACTCTTTATAATATCACACAATTTCATTAGTTTACCTGTTATGGCAATTTTGAAAGCAGGGAGGAGCTCGGAAAGTGCAATGACTGTGTGTTATGCGTGATGCAAAGTACTTTCCAGAAGATGGTGCAGCAAGCAGACTGTTGTAAATTGTGGGAAAATTGGCATTATACTAATGTAAAAATGATGTATTTATGATATGAATATATGAAAACTGATGGGACTGACAACAAAATGTTGTAAATGCTAAAAAATGTAAGTTGTGTGATCATACGAGGGATGTTCAATAAGTTATCTCCCTCTGTATCTTATGGCATTGTTGGAGAATGAGTGTGCACAGGGAAGTTTGAACATTATTTACTAGGCTGTCCGGGTAACGCCGTGTCCATGCACGAAGATGCCGACGTTTCAGTCGCCATTCTGCGACCTTCCTCAGGGCGTAATGCCGATAATGCATTAGGCCTTGAGGAAGGTCGCAGAATGGCGACCGAAACGTCGACACCTTCGCCATGGACGCGGCATCACCCAGACAACATAGTAAATACTGACTCCGGCTGTGGGAGCCTACGCTCTTAATATTTAGTAGGCTGTCTGGGTACTACTGGTGAAATCTTACTTATGGTCATATTGAACCCACTAGCTGTTCAATTGTCAACCAATTCCGGAGCATCCTTAATGCACAAAACATGAATTCTGACTACACAATGTAGTAGAGAAAGCGATTAACTACATATTGGAACAAGCTTTATCCACTTTCTGTGTCATTGCCCTACAATACAAGTTTTTCTACCTAACTATTGCTGTTCCATTACATTATTTTAGACTATGTCTGAATTTTAGAAGATCTGTGTCTCTATTTAGAAGTAGTCTGTGAGAAAGTAAAATAGAAAAATAGAATTTAATTGTTGTTTATTCCCTAATTTTAAATTATGGACAACCACAATGAAAAAAGCCAAAAACCTTTACGTAGTAATTTAATTCCCTTGTGTATTCTTCTTATGACATTTTGGAGACTGTTCCGTCTCCCTTATTAAATTATCAGGTGAAACTGAAAATTTAATTATAAAAATATCTCTATGAAGTCAAAATGATTTTCATAAAATTAGAAATATATAATAAATAGATACTGTACCCAATTCATTGAAAGCTAAACCTTACAACTATGTTAAAAACGGGGAGGTGTTATTAAAAACCTAAAAATATTTGGTATGTAGTCATAAATTTTTGTAAACTGATTGGATTCTATAAATGTATTCATGGTATTCTGAGTTTTTATATTCAATGTTTCTAGTATTAATCTTTTATATCTGTTGGGTTCTACCGCTAAAATACAAAACTAATCAAAATTTATTGAATGATTTAGGTTCATTCTGTGTCGGGATATAGAATTTCGTCTATTTGTAACCCCTTTGATATTTTTTCTATGTTTTGTCATTGTCTTTCTAAGTCTTCTTTTTGTTTGGCCAATATAATTCAACTGACGGTCATTACATTCAACTGCATAAACTGTGTCATATCATGTTTAGGTATTCCATCTTTATCATTTCTCATATGATTCTGTTCTTAATTAATGTACTTTTAATGTTGTTGCACTTTGATTTTAACTGTTTTTGTTACGGTAGGGTCAGTGTTTTTGCAAATGAATAATTATTTTGGGCAGAACTTAAACAGGTTCAACGGATAGGTTGGCCCACCATGTTGGGCGGAACTATTAAAATTTTATTGACTTGTTTGTCAATATACTTGATAATGAATTTCTTTGGGTAATGGTTGTCTAAAAGGATTAGTTGTGGTTGTTCTTAGTTTAAATTAAGGGACTAAACAACAATTAAATATGATGATATTGTGACAACCAATTTAAAACTTAATCTTAATAAAAATAGAAGTTAAATTGTAATTTCAATTGAAAATAACACAAAAAAATCAATAAATTAAAAAAGTCTATGTACTGTTTAAATAAAAGTATTGAAATATAATTTGCATTAACAATACAATTTTCCACATCTTCAGTAATGATGTAGGTGAGCGCAGAGGATGAACTGTGATTTTTGCAAGAGGATTATTTTTAAGAAAATCACACTTGTTTTACTTATGCTTTATAACTGCACTTTCGCATACTTGAAGGTCAGAAGTTAAGTAAAGAATTTGAAATAAAGAGGAAAATTTGCAATTCCATGGTTCCAAGTCAGGTCCTAAAATACACAAGTTTTGTGCTGGCCCCCAATTACATGATACCCAATGAGAAATATGTGAGGATCCCTATACATAACACCGTATCATACCACTTCATACCATACCACACTATGCCGTGTGTGTGCACAACCGTATGACACACCAAACTGCACATGCTCCGTACCATACCTCACCACACTGCGTGTGCTCCACACCACACCATACATAACCACACTGTGTGTGCTCCACACCACACCATACATAACCACACTTGTGTGTGCTTCACACCACACCTCTCTGCGTGCACTACATACCTTACCATTCCATACCACACCACAGCACTCTGCATGCACTGCACCGCACCGCACCACACCACAGCATTCTGCATGCACTGCACCGCACCACACCACAGCATTCTGCATGCACCACACCACAGCATTCTGCATGCACCGCACCACAGCACTCTGCATGCACCGCACCACAGCACTCTGCATGCACCGCACCACAGCACTCTGCATGCACCGCACCGCACCACAGCACTCTGCATGCACCGCACCGCACCACACCACACCACTCTGCATGTACCACAAGGTACGATACAGTATATTCATTCAGAAATTCCATGGTTTGTTCTTCTGCCACTGTATATGTGTGTGCATAATGATTGGATGAAATGTTTGCTTGCAAAATTCAAGGATAGTTAGTTGTTTTTATCTATTTTAGTTCTGCCTATTAGCATTCCGTTTTCTGAAACAAAACCTACCTACACTGATATACCATATTTGTAATGATCCTATCAAAATTATAGCTGTTTAGTTCCATAGGCCTATGAAAAAATATTTGTACTTCATGATTAAGTTCTTCATTAGTGATACCATGCATAATGTGTGTGTGCTGTTTTATGTAATGGAGGAAGTCCATCACTGAATTTTTATTTCATATTTGTTAGTGGTCATTTGGTGTTGGTTCATTAACCTTTGAATTAACAATGTAGAGTATTTAGAGTGCAGATATGTGCTTGTAATGTCTCGTACCTCTTTGTCTGTGTTTGTTGTTTTTATTGTGTCTATTTCCATTCATAAAAGTTTGCTATGCAAGAGGTATTGATATTCAAGCATGTGTCAGTGGTTCCCTGTGTAACCGTAAATGACAGTTGCATATTGTAACATTTTTTTTTATTTTTTCTTTTACAGCTTTTGAGTGACGTTCCTGTGTAGCACTTGCTGCTTTGTGATAGTTGAGGTAAGTTCCTAATGTGTTGCCACACCTAAAAAAACATTTCATCAAGAATAATGCTGTTAGAAAGGACTCTGATGCTGGTGTTCTATAATTGAAGGTCTGCCTCTAATAAAGAAGTAACCAAAAAATGAAATGTGGGTGGAAGAAGGGTGTAACATTGGTGCTTTACATTGTGGGATATTTATGCACTACATTGCCAGTTTCAACAGTTTAACATTGTATTCCATGAAAATTGGTTGTAATATCTGTCATGAGAGTTGACTAAAATCACCTTACTTCCATTGCTTGTAAGCAAATCTGAAAAATTATAGATCAATATGTGACCTTAAACATGTCAATTTCATAAAAATTTGTAAATTATTTTCTCGTTTATACAGACATTGTTCACAAAGATATTTATAAAAGAGTATAACCATATATTATCTTGATTAATTTTGAAAGAAACTTCATTTTCATAACAATAAATTGACTTCCAACTCTAATAGATTTTCCAAACAATCGTGATGCATTGTTTTTCCTTTGTCAGGTAAACTAATAATGTAGTCATACATATATGTAGTAATGAAATATTGCTTTTAGAAGTTGAATAAAGTTATATTTCCACTTAAACATAAAATGTCGCTAATGTATTTAATGAAGACAAATATTCTTGTGATAAATTATTGATTTTGTTAGTTTATATTCGTATTCCAGGCAGCCTTTAAATAGAAACGAGTATTAACCCTTTCAACTCCTAATTCTTCAGCCTCTGCTTTCCTAATAGTTCTTCAATTCCCATTGAAACACCTCCACAACATGTTTGAGGCTATTGTGATTTCTAAGTTTGGGAACTCATTTTAATGAAGAAACAAAACATGTTTAATACAAATTAGCAAACTTCTAACTAGTTAAGTCTATTAAACTGTTCGTAAAATGAAAATACAAGATTAAACATTAAAGATCTTTATATAATTTGCAATCTCTGTTGGATGTTGCCTGTTTACTCCAGAACAATTTTGAAAGAGCTGATGATCTAAGTTCTTTGTTCTTCTCTAGGCTGTATCCACTGAGCTATCATAACTTCCAATAAAAGGCAATCATTTACTTTTCATCTACAATTGACCAGATAATAGATTAATAGAGTCTAACAAAATGAAATTTTCCATCGTTAAAACTGATACAAGTACAAATTGTCTTCAGTCTTGTATACCCTGACAAGCTCTGCACTACAAACGAGGTCAGGAAAGGTTGAAAAATAAATAGTGTGTGACATGACTTCTGAGCAGAAGTCACATTTTTCAAAACATTTGATTGGGAAGGGTTAAAAGATATTTGTATGGTTTTCACGCCTCATTTTCAGAATTGTGATGGTTTCCAGAAAAATGTGGTCATACATTCACTTCTACTCCAAACCACTACCTGCATGAAGATCACACATTCTACTGAAATGTGTATCAGTAGAATGTTCTGTTGACAACTGTAGAATTAATTACAAATTTGAGGGGTATAGATCACAGGAATTGAAGTAGAAACTATTAAAGAATTATATATATAATATCAGGAATATTTTAATTCCAAGAACTAGGCATGAAGACATCAATATGAATATACAATACACAAATTAATAACGATATGTGAAAAAGGATATAAAAATGTTCACTCCTTACTAAATATTTTCATAATTATTTAGTAAGATGTGCACATTTGTATATAATTTTTTCTTACATTATTAATTTGTGTATTGTATATTCATATTGATTTCTTCATGCCTTGTTTGCTAGCCTTGATGATGAAATTAAAAGATTCCTTAACATCAGCAAACTAATCTTTCAATTGTTTCTACTCTGTCCAATTCCTGTGAACTACATGCCTCCTTTCATCATGGTCGTGAATTCTACGATGGTTACAAAATTGAGTTAAAGCATTAAATGTTTTGATGAATAATACTCTTCAAAACTATAATATTATTCAATTACTTTCAGTTAAGTTTGTTGGTGAAGTTAGTTAATAAATTGGATGTCATCGTCAAATTACATACTGATAGACAAGGGGAGGAATATTGAAGCATCATTATGGTGTGTTCCATAGGAATGGGGAGGGGAGCCTAGTGTAGTTTTATAATGCTGATATTTATTTTAAAATTCTTTCAATAATTGTTGAAACTCCTTTTATTGAACTTAATCTAAAATTAAATTAAAAATATAAATAGCTTAAAAAGTTCTGTGGTAAATTGTTGCAATAAATAAAATTACTTTATATTAATGTATATTGATTGAATGTGTTAATTACGAAGAAAATATTCAAGACTGATCTATAGTAATCTTATATTCTAGAATCCAATTAAATTGGTACAGTAGTTTGAGTCCAAGCGTCATCCACAACAGCATGTGCACAGCTTGTTGCCAGAAATTTTCTCACCTAGGTGTTCATTAAAAAATTTTACTAATTCCTATTAATTATCTCAAATTTTAATATCAAACACAAATAAAATTAATAAAACTTGTTACTTTTCTTTTAATAATTTAATTTTACTCTATAATTATAATTTCTTTTTACTTATTGTAAATGGGGGGGGGGCATCTTCTTGCAAGCATTACCTGGAGGGGGGGGGTATTCAAAAAACTCCAATTCTGCGGAATGTACCTAATTTATGGATGTCTTCTTTTGTAAATGTCAAGAAATTAAAGTTATTGAAATAAATATATAAGGAATAAAGTAACGATTAAATTGTCTGAAATAATTAAAGGGCTTGGGAGTTAAAGATGGTAAACCTGCATTATTCAAAAAATTTGTACGTTTTCATTTGCTCTCAATGTGCTGTGATTCTCAAATAGTCCAAATTATGGCAAATAGATGGCTCCAAACTGTTGTCATCTTCATGTACCCATATTCAAAACCCCTTCTGGCAAAAATGTTCACTTGCCGATGACCAAACATTCCCACGTTGCTTACCATGTTTTATACCCAAACTCTTATTGTATTGTATTTTTACTTCTACAAGGAATTTTTAAAATCTATTTGAACATTGTGAAAATGGCACTAATAATACTTAATTAAAAGTACTTTACACATGTAAAGTTTTTTTTAAATTTAAATGCATATTTTTGGAACGTGTATACTGCTTTCGCAAAAAGTAATGTCAAAAGATGTGACTTGCCAATCCCAGTGTTCTGTTGCACATGCACTGGCTTGCACATATGGTATTTAGAATTACAGGAGCTGTCATTATCACAGATTTGTGGTTTACAACAAATGTCTTTCTGTCTTATTTTGCAATTATCTCAAAAGAATTTAACACGTGTATTTACAATACTTTTGAAAACAATGCAAATTGCTATACAACAGAAACTTTGTTAATTTTAATTCTTATGAATTGTGAAGTGTTTGAAATAAACTGCAATTATAAAGGTTGCTGGGAAAGTTTCTGGAAACGATATGAAAAATAGTTAATAGAATTGGATATTAGTTAAATGAATAGAATAGCTTTATTGTTTTTGAAGTATTTGCCTTTTAGCATTATACATTTTGCATCCACTCAAACCAGTTTGTGAAGTAGTTCATCCACTCTACAGCAGGTTCTGTGAAAACCATAATCCGGAATATTGTGACTGCTGCTTCAGGCAATCGCTCCCCACAAGTGTTGTTTTTGATAGTTGGAAACGGAGATAAGTCATTACGTAATATATACTGTTAACTCTTCAGTGTGGTATACTGTGTGTAGACAGCAATTTCCTTTCTCTTTTAAACGTGGTATGGGTTGGATTTTCCTTTCCATTTGTAGTAAGCTGTCCCAGGACCTGAATGGTGCCATGCACAGTCATGCAGTGTGTTAAGACGAGTTTTTGATTTCTTTTGGTGTGTTTTGATACAAATATTTTAATATCGATTGAAGTGTTTCTATTTCTTTGTGGATGTTTTTTAAAGCAACAATTAATTTACAATACTTCATTTTCTATTCATTTACTACATATCGTATGAAATTATTGCGACTGTCAGACATACTGTTACTAAAACGATAGAAATTGCCCTAAATTTAATACAGTCATTGCTATACAAGGGCCTCACTTTCTTGGTGGACAATTACTACAACTCCCCTTCATTTGCTGTGATGTTGAAAAGATGGGAAGAGATTGTTTAGGAACAATTCGAACAAAAAAATAATGTTTTACTAATATTGCGAGAAAAGAAATCATTATTATTGTTTATCATATTGTTAAAGATGTGAAGCAATGTGATCTCAGGAAAGAGCACGTTTTCAGTGTTGGGAAGCGCATCGCTGCCTGAGCTGAGATGCTCCCACATCAGGCCTTGCCGGATGCCCTCAGCTTGCTACTTCCTCCGCAGTGTCGCTGAGCGCTCCTTTCACTTAAAGCCGTCTTGCAATGCTACCGCACTCACCGTCGGCACCATGTTGAAGGACTGAAACAGAAAATGAGTCGTATTATCTACATTTTGAATTGCTAAAAAACCAGGGGTGTCATGTGCTGTATGAGCTCTGACATTGCCAAGGTTAAGAATGATTCTCCCATTTCGTTTTTTTTTTCTTATCCCATCAATGACTTTCAGCAAACAAATTGTGATGTATCAATGAGTGTTTGCTGTGGTATAATTCTCTAATCCCAGGTTTGCTACATGTCCAGTTACACCAAAAAACAAGTGACCATTTTCTTCGCAGCACTGTGTGAACGAACAACTTTTGGTGGTTTGAATTCATCTTCAAATATCAAAATGGTAGATTGCTTTGTAGTTTTGGGTTCATAGGAATAAACCAAGTTTTGTCAGCAGTAATAATGTTGACCAAATGTGAATGACTTCTGTTGAATTTCTTTGTACAGTTGATGCAACACTGTTTTTTTGCTTCTGTTGAGTTGTGCGGAAACCAACAGCTACGTAGCTTCTGTACATTCAAATGATTATGCTAAATCGTGTGAATTGCTTTAATGTCAAGGCTGAAGGATGCTTGAACCATGCCAATCTCCATTAATCAGTTCTTGTGCACCATCAACATTAGATGCAAGAACATATGTTGCAGGATTACCCTCATGAAGT